TGAGTGGAATATTGGCCCATTGAGATGTCGGTAGGTCGTAGGGATTCCTGGGGGCATAAGAGCTGCAATACCCCCATTCCTCGTTTGCTGTGCAACTAATTCATGGAGGGTATGAGAGCGTGATAAGTCGGGTGCATCTCCGAGGTAAGCTAAATCGACTTCGCCCAATGTCGGCAAGTTGAGGGAAGGGGTGTTTGTGTTTAAGGCCGCCCGTATTCGATGAAAGCTTTCCAGCTCTTCTACAGCTGAAGACGCCTTGATTAATATATATTGATTGCTAGAGACAAGAAAGTAGGCGGCAGTATCGATCTCAACCCAGTTCTGTACATCTGTACGCCATATTGAGACACAGCCAAAGGAAGGCGTCCCATTGAAGGGGTTTTTTGGTTGTAATTGCAATCTTTGAACCATAAAATGATCCTGGGCCAACGAATACAGCCTTTGCTGAGGGGCTAGTGCTGTCTAATCGTAGGGCATGAGCTCTTGACGTCGTTCGTAAAGGGGAAATGTGGCTACCTTATGTACCGAGTATCTTTCGCCGTCACCAGCCCAATAGACGAATGTAAGGAAGAATTGATTTGTGGATGCCCGTCTAGCACGGGGCCTTGCGTTTGAAGCTCTTCCCTTTGAAGGTCGTCAATGGAGACCCAAATGGTTCATTATTCCATACTCACAGCACGTAAGCGTCTTGAAGGGCGACGATGTGCCCTTCTGCGAAGTCGTGGTGGCATTTGAAGAGTTTGCCTTTGAAGGAGGTAAAGAGAACGATGGAGGTGGAGGGCAAAGATCACATTTCACCAGGAACTCCGCTAATTCCATGACTATAAAATAGGAAAAGAGCCAAAATACCAAGAATATTACTCCTATTCTTGTATTCTAGGCCGCATCTCTCGACTCATCAAGAGGTGTATGTACGTCTTTTGGCACCCAGGCTAATGATAGCAGATCATTTTAGCTATACATGGACGTTGAATGATGATATGAATTAGTTAAATACACTTACAATGTCTGAAATCACGGTAAGATCGCTCGACATTGCCTTGACACTGAGTGCGCGAGTGTTCTGCTTAAACATATGAAGTTGGACCCATCCGGCTCAGGTCGTAGTCATCGTGAGTCTGATATAAAGCTACGGATGAAGTCGGAATCTTGACATCAGCAAATTTCCATAACGTATTTGATCGGGTGCGGGAAAAAGATGGAAGACCCTCGATTACACTGAGCAGAACTTCGAGCCTAGCCAAGGACCAATTTATCTTGTTATGACGGTTATTTTCATGGTCCAAGGAGCGCCTGTCATGGGTCAAGAGAATGAAATGGAGGGGAGGGTCCCAGGGAGTGCGCGGCGACGGAACAAGTACACTAATCCACCGTTGACCCTATGAAATCGATTTGCGTCCATTAAACCTTACGAGATTGATGAGGACCTACCAGCTATAGACAAATAAAAATCTTCATCTTTGTGATCGAATCATGTGGGATTTTTTCACGCATGTGGTAGTACCAGTGGTAGTACCAGTGGACATACTTGGTCGTTTCTTGCCATTCGCTATATCGGTGGAACCGAGCGTTCTTTGAATACAGATCCTCAATCCATGTATTTCCATTATCCAACAATATTGTGAAACGATATTGTCAAGTGCCC